GACATGGAAATTCTAATTAACGCACACGGGGCTGGTTTTGCTCAAGGATCTACAGGCTGTCATGTCACAGGAGGCCCGCAGGCACATGCTCTCCGGGGAGGTGCTCATGGTCACCTGGTGTGGGGGCCTGCAGTGCCCTAGTCTTGGCCCTGCCTTCCTTCCCTGGGCCCACCTAGGTGCACAGTGTGCCACCCTACACTCCCCCTGCAAAGCAGTATGAGGGGGAAATCTAGTAAATGAGCTGAGTCTCCCCTGCCAGAGGTACCTGACAAGGTACGGAGGGACCCTTTGGGAAACCACAGGCCACTGTGCTCACAGCAGGCCTGGCCTCTTGCACCATCTGGGGTATCCACCTGTAACCGAAGGGGCAGGCATGGCTTCCAGGCCAGTCCTGGCTGACTTGGCACTGGTGGGGAGGACTTGACAGCAATCACTGTAATCTCCCCAGGTTGCTAGGAGACGGGTACTCAGGTCATGCTTGCACACAGTCCCCAAGCTCAGAGCCTGGACCCTCATGGCGAGGCCAGTTCTAACTCTGCAGCCCTGTCCTTGCATGCCAGCACCCATGCCAGGGTACCTCTAGCCTTCCCTTCATCTTCTCCTCTCTGGCCAGGCCCTGGCTGGAGGCATCCTGTCTGCACTGGGGCAGGAGCAGCAGTCCTGGAACTCCTTCTGACCCAGGATTTTAGGGGTGCCAGAGAGGGAGGCCAAGAGGAGGCACACATGCCCTGCTCCCAGGACCTGAGGACTGGGCAGGGAATCAGATACCCCAGAAAGGTCCCTGGCCCAGTGCTAAGGGCTTAGAGAGCTGGTACAAAATGGTTTGAGAGCTGGAGGAGGACGTGGCTGCCTGGCCTGTGGGCATCCTGGGCCTCCCTGAGTCAGGAATGGATAAGCAGATCCTACAGGGACACACACAGGGGTGGCCCTCCCCTCCCACTGTCCTGCTAGTGACCCTCAGTGGGCAGAAGACAATGGGCTGGGCAGGGCAGCAGCCTGGGAACTCATCTCTGGTCCTGTTGGAGTGTGGAGCTTCCCCCCTGTCCCCCACACTGTGCCCTAGGTGGCCCTTTACCTTATAATGGCCCCTGGGAACCCCTGCAGCAAGGCTCTGGGTGGGGGACATGGGAAGGTAGCATGGGACAGATGGGCTCACTTGTGGTACTCTTGGCCCTGGAAGACAATGTGCCCAAAAGGTCTGTGCATGTGGCCGTGGCCCAGCTCAGAGCTGTGCAAGGGCCCTGGGGATGGCGTGGCCAAAGCTACTCTGTCTCCCCAAGCCACTGCACCCTGGTGACTCCCTAGGCTTGCTCACTGACCTCTGGCCCCCTCATCCCTCTCTCCAGTGATGGCCAACAGGCCCCAGAAAGAGGAGCTTCACCCAGCCCTAGGGACCTTCCCATAATCAAGGCTACAGTGACCTCACCTCCCTGGGGCCTGGCGGGCGGGGAGAGCTTGAGATGGAAACAAAATATGTCTTTATTTATGCTTTTAATTTGAATTCTGGAACTGGCCCAACATGGTAATACATTTAAGATCAGTGAAATGCTGAAGAAAAATGGATGTACTTTTCAATTACTGCCCCCCGCCCCACTCTGCTCCCCGAGACCCTCTTGCACATCCCCATCCCTCAGACACACACCAAGGCATGCACCTCTCTTCCCTGTTCAGGGTCCGTGGGGACGGGCTGCCTGAGAGCACCTCGATGTGTTCCTGAGCCACCGGGACTGAGTTTAATTAGGGGCATCAACTACCAGAAAGGCTGTTGGGAGGTGAAGGGATGTGGCCTCAGTGTGGGCACCAAGGCCTGGCCATCTCCCTCCCTGCCCTGTAGGCAGTCACAGCCCTGAATAAGTATGGTGCCCATGGGTGCCATCTCCTCTAGCCATGGTGCCCCCAGGGCTACAGCCCAGGCAGAGGCCGCAACACCTGTTCAGTATGCCTGCATCCCACCTGGCCCAGCAGGGCTTCCTTGGGGGATGGTACCCCCGTTATAGGCACATCTCATTTCATTGCACCTCACAGTTTGTGTGAAGGTCTGTGGCAACCCTGTGTCAAGTCCATTGGTGCCATTTTTCCAAAATTTGCTGGCTTTGTGTCTCGCATTTTGGTAATTCTTGCAAGATTTCAAATCTTTAAACTACTGTATTTGTTACGGCGATCTTTGGTGGTGTTCCCAGAATCGGGGGCACCATGACCTGTGCCCATGTAAGACCACAAACTTAACTGGTAAATGTTGTGTATGTTCTGGCAGCTCCATTGGCTATTTCCCCATCTCCCTCCCTCTCCTTGGGCCTCCCTGTCCCCTGAGACACAATATTGAACTTAGGGAAACTGGTAACCATCCAATGGCCTCTAAGGGTTCAAGTGACAGGAAGAGTTAACAGATGCAGCAAACTTCATTGTTGCCTTATTTTAGGAAATCACTGCAGCCACCCCAGCCTTCAGCAGCCGTTCCCCTGACCGGCCAGCAGAAATGAACACTGAGGCAGGACCCTTCCCCAGCAGAAAGACCACAACTCGCTGAAAGCTCAGGAGATGGTTGGCATTTGTTAGCACTACGGTATTTTTTACAAGGCATGCACATGTTTTTTTTGACACAACGGTGTCGCACACTTACTAGACCACTGCATAGTGTAAATGTCATTTTTCTAAGCACTGGGAGACCAAAGCATTCATTTGACTTGTTTTATTGCACTATTCTCTTGATTGGGGTGGTCTGGGACTAGGCTGCAGCATCTAAGCTCACAGGCTTGTAGATCCCCTGCTGGCTCAGTCTGGACTCTGCCCTGATCAGACACAAGGTGGTCCGTCTACCAAAATCTCAGGCTCCCTGTACCCGGCCCCCACCACAGACCCCTCACCAAGCACCACGCCTGGACTCCTTCCCGCCTTCCCGGCTGGCTCACGTCCAGCCACTGCTTCTGGGTGGGTCTTTGCTGGGAAAGGCCTTTGCAGGTTGTAGGACAGGGACCCATCTGGCTGAGGTCTGGGGTTTTGGCCTCCAACTCAGCCCAGCCAGTGCTGAAAGTGGCAGAATACACCCCCTATGTGCAGAGCCCGCAGCTGGCTGTGTGGGCGGTGATGTACCAGGCCCACAGCAAGCAGAGGGCTCAGGGCTGTTCAGGTCTTGACAGCCACTGTCTCAGGTAGACAACAAGCGGTCATGTGACCCGGCTGACGTGGCTGCGTGCACTTGGGTTTCTTCCAGGGCCCCAGGAATCCTGGTGTGTGTTGGTTCCCTCACCTTAAAAGGCGTGAACGCACAGGCCAGCTGTGGGCCACCGGGGCCTGTCTCTCCTCACCCATGCCTCCCCGCAGGGGCCTTGTAGGCCCAGGGTGCTGAGGAGGCCTGACTGCCCAGTTGCATGGCTACTGGGTGGTAGCCCTGTGCTCCCAGGGGGCAGCTCCTTGTGTGTGTGCGCCCAGGCTGGGCCGCAGCTGAGAGAGAGGAGGGGGACGAATTCCAGCTGGAGGAGAGTGCTAGAGGACAAGAAGGGGCAGGCCAAGCAGCCGAGGGAGGCCTGGGTGGGGTCTGCCTGCGTGAGGGTGGTGGCTCCCGCAGGCATGTAGCTGTTGCTCAGAGCGGGTAGTGCCGCCTGTGTTGCACACAACACCAGCCACAAATGTTCCCAACTTTCACCGCTTTGGTACCTCTCATGGCCCGGAGTCTGTCCAGGCCTCAGCCAGAGTGGTGAGCCAGCGTTCTGCCTTCGGGCATCAATCTGTACCCACCCAGCCTGCCCGGGTTGGCTGTTGTTCACATCTCTGCTCTTGCTGGTTTATCAAGTACGACTATCAGGTCATCTCCAGGATGGACCCAAAGGTCAGAGCCCCCTTTCCAGGGGCGACCTGGAGGTATGCTCCATTGTCGGGTCCTGGAGGACGGGTCACCCCCTGCCTCCCAGTGACCCAGCTGGCTCCCATGGAGCCTGCAAACACTTCTGCGCGTGCCCCAGGAGCCGGGGGGCCTGGAAAGACGGCGGGTACGGCTTGTGGGATCACATACGACCTGGAGACAGCCCTGTCCTTTCATCCTGGCTACCCAATCCTACCAGCCCTCTGGTTACACGAGCAGCCTGGAGGCCCTATGATTTGGATTCCAACTTCCTTAGTCACCTGTGAGGCAAAGGCCATACCGGGCCAGCAGTACAGGTGGCGGGCCCAAGGCCTCACTCCTGCAGGGATGCACATGGTTCAGCACAGCTTGACACCCCAAAGCACCTTTAGTGACACGTCCATGAAGGGAAGGGAAGAATGCTGGGAAAAGACTCTTGGAAGGGCTGAGAGAGCCATTCACACACTGACACAGAGACTGCTCCAGGGGAACCCCCTGGGGGTGGGGCCAGAGCAGGCCCGAGTGCCCTGCTGACCCCAGGGCAGGCTGTCGCCGCCATGTGCCCTGGCTGGGAGCACTGAGTCACACGTCGCAGGGGAATCACGCTACGGCTGGACCCCGGGTTGGCCTGGCAGTGCCGAGGCGGAGGGGGAGGACGGGCATGCGTCCCAGGCCAGCTGTGCCTCGGGGAAAGGCCAACTGGAAGGCGTGGAAAATCAGCCATTTCCTCCACCTGAAGGAGCCCCTGAGGACGGCGGTGGCCACTGGCAGACAGCACTAGGCATCTGCCCCATGGCTTGGCCAGGGTTCCGTGGGGAAATGCTGAAAGACAAAGTCGTCCCTTTTTTGGGAGATGGGGGAGGGGCCTGGGGGGAGAAAACAATCTTTTCAGACACTCACAGCATAAAAACAAGTGGAAAATGATCAGCCTGGTTTTCCGTAAGTCAGAACAAGAGGGTCATATTTCCAGGCTCGGCGGGAATCGTCCCTGCTCTCTCTGCCTGGTGCCAGGGCACTGGGGCCAGCTCCAGGTGGCAGTGCCCCAGTTTGCTGAGGGCAGGCAGTGAGCAGCAGGTGGTAGGTGAGGAGACTTGAGTGCAAGGTAGCCCCTTTGTGCCCCAAGCCCCGCTGGCCCGTCATTCTCGGGCAAGTGGCCACTCACTGTGACACGTGTGTGATGGGGGCCAGCAGCGTCTCCCCTTCCAGGTCCAAGTCCTCGGCAAAGCTGTTGGTCCTCATGAAGTGGGCTGGGCTCACCTCCAGCAGCATGGGGCTCCTCTTCACTGTGGGGACAGGTGTGGGCAGGACATTAGGCCTCCGCGGAAGGCTTGGTGATGAAGAGGCACAGAGCTGGGCTCAGACGCCTGCCCCAACCTGGACCACGGCCGTAGGACAGACCCGTGTACCCCAAGTCCTCCCACACACAGGCAGGATACTCTCTTTCAGGGCTGGGTGAGAAGTGGAGGTGGTGCAGGAAGCCCCAGCACCGAGGATCTAGGGATGGGGTGATAAGATGGCTTTCACATGGCCAAGGAGCTCTGAGGGCCAGTGATGCTTTCTCAGAGTGAAGACCATGCCTGGGCTGAGCTCGGGTGTCCAGGCTTCTCCCCAGGTTCACACCTAACATTCAGGTCAACAATAAGACAGAGCTGATAGCACAGGTGCGGTGAGAAGCACTGACTCCCACCACAGCGCTGTCACTCATACAGACGGAGCACTTGCAGTGCACCAGGGAAGACCCAGCCAGCAGGACTCTGGCCTGCAAGGAGCCATGAGCCTGGGGAGCGGGCAGCCCCGGAGCTCGGCCATGATGCCGCATCCACCAGCCACGTCCCAAGGGATGTGCAGGAACCAGTCCAGCTGGTCTAAAAGTCAGATTCCTGGGCCCTCCCTCAGTAATCTGATGCTTGTGTTCAGGGCTGGCTAAAAGTACTTATCAATCCCCTAATTTTTCAGTCTGGTTTTTTTTTTCATTCAAAAGTTTTTATTGTAGAAGAAGTGTTTAATGTAAAAAATGAAATGACAAAAAATTCACGAAGGCCCTTCTCCCCCAGGTTCATCAGTATTAACGGCCAACTGGATTCCTGGCTCATCCCTCTATGCTCCTCATAGCAGCTGATGCCAGGTGGAACTTGCTTTTATACCCATATGGTGGCTTTGTGCCTGTCGCTTGGTTCCTGTTACTTTGCGATATGCTCATCTCATTTTTCTACAGGTATAAAGACACAGATCAAAGTCTTATTTTAGTTGCATAACTGCCCACAGTTTAGGTCAGCTACACAGACCATTCCATATGTGATAGGCATTAAGGGTCTATTAGCTTTAAGCTACTACTTAAGACAATGATGCCCCATCCGTTGGAAGGAAAACCTGACATTCTGGGGCAGGTGAGAGAGTGCTTCCTTGATAATTTTAATAGATACTACTGAATTGTTTTCCAAAGATGTTCTGGCAATTCAGACTCTACCAGCAGTGTGTGAATGAGCCAGGTTCCCGGTATCCACGCCCACCACCAGCAACCTTTGCATTGCCCACAACTGTGGGTGTAGACTGGGAAGCTTTTTTTCTTTGTACACTGAATGCCTTCTGTGGCTCAGAAGCTGTTTGGATTTCCTCTTGTGGAATTGCCTGTTCCCATCCTTTGTTCAATTTTACTTGTCAGTTTGTAGGAATTTTTTAGATATTCGAGATTTGTCATATGAGGCACACATATCTTTCCCAGTCTATCTTTGATCTTTTAATGTTAACTGTGGTTGTTTTTATCACAGAAAACACTTCATGTTTTTAACATTACATGCCTATCTTTTGCTTTATGAAAAAGGAAGGTTTTCCCACTCCAAAGTAAAGCAACTGTCTCTGAAGTTTTTTTATAATATAAATGGATGAGTATTGTGTGTATAGCTGACCGTTGAACAACATAGGTTTGAACTGTGAAGGTCCACTTATATGCACATGTTTTTTAGTGAATATATTGGAAACATTTTTTGGAGATTTGCAACAATTTGAAAAAAACATGTTTTCTCTAGCTTTATTGTAAAACTACTGTATGTAACACATATAACATACAAAATATGTGTTAATAGATGATTTATGTTATTGGTAAGGCTTCCAGTCAACAGTAGGTTATTAAGTTTTGGGGAAGCCAAAAGTTCTATATGGATTTTCAACTGTGCAGGGGGGTCAGTACCCCTAATGTCCACACTTTTCAAGGATCAACTTGTGCATGTGTGTATCTATTTTAATACATGTAGCATTTAGCCTAACACTGTGGGAGATCACCAATAATCAGGAAATGAAAATCAGTAAAACTACAGTATACAATCTTACTAAAAAAAAACTGAAGTATAAAACTAAACCTATACAATTTTTTGAAGAAAACACAGGAGAAAAAAATCTCTAGATCCTTGATTTGACAATTTTGAAGTATAATACTGAAAGGTCCATCTCTAAAGGGGAAAAAATCAACATATAGGACTTTGTCACAATTAAAAGCATTTGCTCTGCAAAAGACATTGCTAAGGAATGAAGAGTCAAGCTACTGACTTGGAGAAAATGTTTATACGTCACCTATCTGGTTAAGGACTTATATTCCAAATATATAAAGAACTCTTCCAACTTCACATGAAAACGAACAACCCAATTTTAAGAACTGATTCATCGACATCAACAGTCATTAGGGAAATCAAACCAAATTCAGATGAGCTACCACTACAACCTTATTAGAATGGCAAAACTTAGAAAAATCAAAGCCTAAACAACACCAAATGCTCATAAGGATGCAGAGCAACTGAAACTCACATGAATGCAAAACAGTGCAGCCCTGTTAGAAGAGTTTGCTAATCTCTTGTGAAGTCAAACACACTTCCCATGTGACCCAGCAGCCCCTTTCCCGGATTTACCCAAGTGAGCTGAAAATGTATGCTCATGAAAACCTGCATATAAATGTGTATAGCACTTCACTCACAACTGGCAAAAAGAGGAAACCAAGATGTCCTTCAATAGGTGAGTGGATAAACAAATGGTGGTATATCCATACAATGGAATACTACCCAATAATCAAAAGAAATGAACTAACGGTTCATCCGACAACATGGATGAATCTCAAATGCATTTTGCTGAGCAGTGAAAGAAGCCAGATGCAATAAGGCTACATATCATATGATTCCATTTATATGATATTCTGGAAAAGGCAAAACTACGGGGACGTAAAACAAATCAATGGCTGTTAGTGTTTGGAGGAAGGGGAGGACTTGACTACAAACACGTCACACAAAGGAGATTTTAGGGCTGGGGACTCCTCTGTATGATGCTGTGGCTGTGGACACATGACTCCAGGAATTTGCCAAAACCCCCAGAACTACAGAATCTTCCAAGAATGGATTTTACTGAATGCAACTAAAATAATAAGAAAATCAGCCAGCCTGTTGGAAGATCCTAGAATGGAGAGCTGACTGTGATGACTGAATTCAGTGTAACGAACATAGGACATCGCACAGAAAGGAGAGGGGAAGAAAGAGCTGGCCTAAGCAAAGCCTTGAGAAACAATTTTTAGACTGGACACACTGTGGCTAAAGAAAAAAAACAAAACAAAACAAAGCCTGTCATAGACACAGTATCCTTGTTGGTAAGTTTGTTTCTTATAGAGGTACTCATACAGTCAGGTTAAACAAGTAAATAAATTATAGATAATGGAAATCAGTTTTCTCACTGTCAGAGAAACAAAGTAACAAATAAATGAAGTGGGGGGGTGCTAATGACCCTGTGGTCAGAAATAGCAGTATGAGCTTATATTTAGCTTAATATAGACACAAATACTGATACACATGTACAGGAATACTCAGAAATATTGCAGTTCCCATTCCAGATCACCACAGTGAAGCAGATACCACAATAAAATGAGTCAGATTAAGTGTTTTGTGTCTTAGTGCATAGAGAAGTTATGTGTACACTGTACTATAGGCTAGTACAGTGTAAAGTAAAATAAATATAATATATATAATATATATTTTAGTAAAGTAAAAATAATTGATTGCTAAAATGCTAACCATCATCTGAGATTTCAGTGAGTCATAATCACTGATTACAGATCACCATAATAAATATAATAACGAAAAAATGTGAAATATTGCAAGGATCACCAGAATATGACACAGAGACATGAAGTGAGCAAATACTGCTGGAAAATGGTACTGACAGACTTGCTCAGCCCAGGGTTTCCATAAACCTTCACTTTGTAAAAAATAGTATCTGTGAAGTGCAGCAAAGTGAAGAACAATAAAACAAGGTATGCCCATGCGCTCAAGTCATCTACCTGCATGTCCTAGCTGTTGAGAGGCCCTGGAAGCAGGGGTAACTCAGGAGCAATGAGCACACCCTGCGCCGAGATCCTGGTCTCTGAATATCATTCATTCTCTAGTAAAAGGAACCAGAGCTCTGGCTGAATGGTGATTCTAGGATTAGGGCAGGGAAAATACCAGCCAAGCTTGAACTATTATCTAGTGTTTGAAAGGAAGGAAGTGATAAATATATAAATGAAAGAACAGGGGACTGGTCAAATGGACACAGAACTAACCCAAAAGAGTTCTCAATCCAATAGCCAAAAGTAGAATAATCTGCACAACAGAGTAATCATAGTATTGGATTATAGTCAGAAAATAAATATTCCTAAATTCATACTGATATAAATTAGCAAATGAGTAATTGGAGAGGAACAGATTTTCCTTAAAGAAGGATTCTGAATAATAAATATAGAAAGAATGAGGAAAATAGAAAAGCCACCATTAGAGCACCACAGGCATTTGCTGCAGGCAAAATCCACAGATGAATGCTAAAATTAGTAGGTGAAACTTTAAGAAGAAACTTCAAAGTTATCTCCCCTCAAATATTTGCTCATTGCTGTGGTGGTTTTAGCATGTGTTCACCGATTCTTTGATACTCTGTCCTGCAGGAGGTGGAATGTAACCTATATCCCCTTGAGTGTGGGCTGGACTCGGTGACTTTCTTCTGATTAGACTCTGGAAAAGGAAAAACGACTGATGGCAGATGCAGTTACTGGACACCACCGTCACCAAGTGGGTCAGAGTTAACATCACCAGCGACAAACCGTGTTGATGCCATACATCTGGACATGAGGGAGCGAGAAAAGCACCTCACTTCTGTGATCTTCCCACAAGCCCATAACCCCAGTCCAACCCTAAGATGGTATCGGACAAACCTGAACTGAAGGGCATTGACACCTGACCAGTATTCCTCAAAAGTATTTATGAAGATAAGCAAGGAGGGA